GACATGCGCCCACTCAAAACTCAGAGATATGGCTTTCAGATACGAGTTCACTCTCATTTGGCTATGGCGACTTCAGCGCCCAAACATCTCACTGTTCACATACACTGGATCACCCTGGATACCCCACACGCATCACTCTAACTCTCGAACACATACACACACTCACTACTAACACATCTAGATGTGTATAAGAGACAGGTGTGTGTGTGTGTGTGTGTGTGTGTGTGTGTGTGTGTGTGTGTGTGTGTGTGTGTGTGTTTTGTGTGTGTGTGTGTCTGTGTGTGTGTGTGTGTCTGTGTGTGTTGTCCTATTCGCTATACACTCAAAGCAAATATGACTGTGCTAGACTGTTTCCTCGCAGTTTCACCGACTCGTGTGTGCGTGTGAGCGTGTGTGTGTGTGTCGGGGCGGGGCTGTGTGGGTGTGTGGGTGTGTGGGTGTGTGGGTGTGTGGTGTGGGTGTGCGGGTGTGTGTGTGTGTGTGTGTGTGCGTGTGTGTGCGTGGGTGCGTTTGGGTGCGTGTGTGTGTGTGTGTGTGTGTGTGTGCGTGGGTGTGCTGTGTATGTTTGTGCGTGCGTGCGCGGGTGTGCGTGAGTGTGTCTGTGTGCGAGCGTGCGCGCGGAGAGAGAGAGAGAGAGAGAGAGAGAGAGAGAGAGAGAGAGAGAGAGAGAGAGAGAGAGAGAGTGCCACGTGATGCCCTGCAAGCTCCATGTGACAGTGCCAGTGATACCCTGCAAGCTTCTGTTTTCTCTTTTCGAGTTCCTATATTTTACGTAGAACGTATATATAAGGAAAAAGGGTGCAGTATGCAATTGACATGAGGTTGACATTTCACGGTTGCAGTCGTGATTGCTACAGGTCAACTCTACCGTCGTCCCCCGAACACAACGCACCCTCATCATGAAACTATCGGATTGCAAAGATGGTTAGTATAGATTCACAATCAGGGGAAGCTATGTTGGGGGGAAGAATAGTGTGATACCTGCTGACCCGCGCATCCGAGCTGTCGTCCTCCTGATGAGGGGTGTCCTCGTCGCGTGAATGACGGTCAGAGGGCAGGATGCAGATTTCTCATCGTCACTCTCAGCACATGCAGGGAGTGGCTTGACCTGCATGCTTGTGGGCCTCGCTCTACTGCTCACCACATGCACAAAAGACAAAGAACATGGCGGCACTATGGGGCAAGATACATTTTGCACTTGCACTTGGGGCACCCTACCTGGCCAGAAAACTGGGTCGTATACATTGCCCAAAATGCAATTCTAAATGGGAAAAGTCATAAAACCTCCCCGCAAAGAAACCTTTGGATCCATTTCCCCCCAAACGAGAGAAAAAAGTGCCGCGGAAAATCGATTTCCAAGTCATTTTTGCACCCTGCAAAACACTTTCCCGGTATTTTTACACAGAGGCTGTTACCGGCGCAGTCAGGGTGCAAAAAGGACACCAAAAGTGATTTTTTTTCCATTTTTTTTCTTAGGGGCAACCAGTTTCGGTATGATCCTGTTTCATACGGAGGTCGCCGTTTTCTTATACAGACCGGAAAACCGGGCCGGCATCCCTCACATTAAAATAGAAGGCATAGATTCATCACGCCCATTGGCTGCACTTCTGTGGCAGCTAGGCGGGCGTCGTACCGAAGGCTGGCAGGTCAGAAGGAGGCGGGAAGTGAGGAGGACTCCGGCACTGACACTTACTCTGGGAAGGAAGAAAGTCCTACGGCTTTTACTGTCACTTCCTCTGAGTCAGGACCCTCTGGCGGTCCAGGTTCCTGAGAATTATTTACTGGATACCCTGGTAACAAGCATTCGGGCACTGATATGCCCCTTGGCTGGTAAGCCTCTTCTAGGCCCATTGAGGCCTCAGCTACCTCAGCAGTCGTTCTAGACCGTACCCCGCATAGGGAAGGCCGACATCGGGCCATATCGAACAAGCAGGGATTGTGGCGACTATTGGTGCCTGCGATTTGCAGATCCGAAGGATGACAGGGACTGGCCATTTCTAGCCTATTCATTTCCTCGTCGGGATCTTTGCTCTTGTCTTTTCCCTGCTTTTCGACTGCGACTGCGGCACCGCTCCGTTCTCCATACCTGTAACGCATCACTCCGTTCTCCATACCTGTAGCGCACCACTGGGTACTGACCATGCTCTCTTCCATATGTACATTCTGAGACTATTACGAGTTCTCATTCTTCCCTCATTCATTTGACTCTATCATTGCTCGAGTCAGTCGGTGTTGCTTCTTGCATTGTTCTTGCTTGATGATTGCCCTTGTCGATGATTTCTGTCACAGTTCTCAAAATCAGATTGACATAATTGATGCATGCATAGCACTCCATAATTTTATGACTATTATTTGCATGATTCTCTGCTGTTCCGAATTAAAATAAAAGATTCCTAAGACCCGGGACCGACGAAGACCGCAATTGAAGGGTCTCGCTCGAAGCCAGACGCACCCAACAGGAAGGGATTTGCATTATTTAATTAATTTTATTTATTGCAATCAACAACAAAATCCTGCAAGACAGCCTGTTGGCATTCCAGTCGCCTGAAAAGGCCCGACTAGAAAAAGTGCGACAGCGTGTGTGTGTGTGTGTGTATGAGAGAGAAAGAGAGGGAAAGAACTGATAATTTTCCAATCTCGCGGCTAAACTCATGGTACTTCCACCGAGAGGAGAAGCAAAATCGAATGAATCTCCCGCAACAACATGGAAATATACACCGCCACTTGCACCCGCCCGTTGTCGCGCCTTCGCCCCCTCTCGACCGCATACTTGCCATTTGTGACTATGTGTGTGTGTGTGTGTGTGTGTGTGTGTGTGTGTGTGTGTGTG